GGAATTAATCAGTCGGCCATATTGTAAATACACATTGCTCTATACAATAAGATTCAGCTAACTAAGAAATTCAAGATGTCAGGCCTGGTGTGTGTTTGTAAGAAATGGCTATTATATGGTTACATTTGAAATGAAAGTTTTACAAAATACATGGCCTTGAGCTAGAGAGATTAAAGTGTTGTTTTGTTTACTATTGATAAGGAATCAATACTATTTATTTTGTTTGCTCATGTAATTAGAAACGTTTATTGATTTGTGTTCCAAGACAGGATATGCTTCACTCTTTCTAGAACAGGTAGTCGGGATTGGTTTAACACCTTCAATTCTCTGTTTGTACATGTTCGGTTTCCAGCCCTTGCTCAAGCGAGTTATTGAGAAAGGTCGTCTGTCCAACCTCATGGGTTTTCTTCAGGTTTCCAGCCCTGCGTGCAAGCGAATTATTGAAATTAAATTGAAGAGGACACTTATGTTAGTCCCTAAATGAACTTGTGTGTATTGAGTAGACGTTAAAGCGATAGTTTCATATTTTCTAAGAAAGTAAAAACATAATGATTTCTATATCTATTAATAGGTTGTCAAACACTGTTATACAATCCTAGATGTCATTCTAGCACTTAAAATAATAACTCTGGAAATACCAGCAAAAATAACCTCCATTCTATACAGGTTTCAATGGAATTGGCAAAGCTCAATGTTAATGTTTCAAATAGAAAATGATATATTTGCCCATTTCTCAACTGACACTAGTGAATTATAGGATTAATAGGTTTTTTCTTGAACAAGCTAGGACTTTGTATACATGTATATGACCTGTATCTTAAGGGATTTTTTTTTAAAAAAAACATCTTTAAAATTTATTTGCTGGTGTGTGTTCACATGAGAAAATTTATTGGGTTTATATTTCCAGCATATGAATCACTTGTTGGTAGTAACAAATCTATGTCATAGTTTAGATAAAAGTGAAAAGATTGTAGTAGATATTTATCACTGTCATACCTGGTAGATATCAACATATATATACATACAGGTTATTTAGGTACATGTACACCGTTAGTTTAACACATATACACTCCCAGGTATATTATATACCTTGTCAATTGGGGTGTGTTGGTGGTGGGGGGGGGTGAAGTTGCTTGGGGAGCCTTGGTGTCTCACGGAGTAAGCCATTGGGTCACTAACCAGGAGGACTGAGGAGGTGCAGTGTTTGATCCTGCATTGACAGAGAAAGTTCATCGGGATTCTCCGGTGTAGTCCCCATTGTCAGTTGTGTAGGTCAGAGGGCTTGGCAACGCACAACGTATAGTCGTTCAGATGGGATGAAAAACTGAGGTCCCACATGCACATAAAAGATCCCTTGACAGTTGGAATTCAATATGAGTAGGCCTTTGCGCCGCTGCACAGGCAAGATTTGCTGAAGTGACCCAGTTTGTATGCTTTTGAGTGGGCATAAAACTGTGGGTCAGTTAAATTCATATACATGTATCGTGTAAAAATTCAGTATTGACATTTTTTCGGGGGCAAATAAAATCATATCAAATCAGATTACATACGTGTATCAATACCTTTTTTATATTCCGTCTATCGAATGATCACTCACCACCCATTAGTGGAGGGGTTTTACGTCCGGTTCCACGTAGGGTGCTGTCGCGGACAAAAAAGGTATCCCATATATAGATGTCATTTACTACTCAACTGTCAGTCACCCTTTTCATTTTATCTTCAGTTCATTTCAAACATATGAAGAGAGTGATAATCCTCTGACAGCTAGGTTTTTAATAATGTTAAACAAATAAAGAAATCATGATGGGGATGTCGATCATTTCAATCATCAAGTCATGTTAATTAAATCACTAATCCTTAGTTCTTTGATTACATTACAAATTAATATTGTTTGATCACTCGCCGGAGACAAAAGACTGGGTCTCTTGGACACTTGTGAATGTTGTCAGGGTGTTCATTGAAATCTGTAAGCTGTTAATGCATTGACACCCCTAATTCTATTGTCATTTGCCACTTTTTCCACTTCAAGTAAAAACGATTGACAGACTTAAAGATCAATTTCTGATGACATCAATTAGCAAGGTATGATATGGTATTGCTGGAAAATCTGAAAGAATAATTAGTGTCAGGTGTAAAATAAGGTTGAGATTACCTGGTGGTCGGTCAACCATCAGTGTAGGGATAAGGTAATTATGTTATAAGCCACCATACATGTATATATATGTAGGGATATCGGCAGGTATATCAGTATCACTTTGTCAGCCTAGTAGTAACTAGTGTTTTAGGAATTTAGAGTTTTTAGTTTGTTTCTTGTATATAGCGTCTTAATATTTATTTGGATTAATATATTCAATCTATTTATTAGCAGAAAGGTATGTAGTTGATTTTGATTAAATTTTTATCGGTTTAGTTGATTTTAAAGTTAATTTGAATGCAAAGTTACATGTACATTCCCTGCAATTCCCTGGCATCTGAAAAAAAATATCAACACTTGTATAAAAACAGGTATAAAAAAAATATTCTATTAGCAAAAAGGTATGTAGTCGATTATGATTTAAATTATTTTTAGGGTTAGTTAGATTTTTAAGTTAATTTGACTGCCAAGTTACATTTCCTGCTATTTATTGGCAAATTAAAAGAAAATTATGTCAACAGTTTAATATTTGAACAAATAGAAAAATATTCTTGGTATTTGGGTGTAAATGTAATTCTGTTTATTTGTAACAATGTACAAATATTTACACTTATATTTTGTTATGACAGTTTGATTGCTAAATGGCTTGAAAATGTCAAAAATAATTTGCTTGAAAATATCAACAAAGTCTGGTTATTTTTTCATGCTTATACATGGTAAATGTAGTGTATTATTAAATTGATCCATGAATTCATGCGTATAACTACTTGTGAATTTATTGTAAGTAGGTATGTTTTATTTACTCAAATTTTAAAATCTGGTAAAAATTAAAAATAAAAAAACTGTTTTCTACTACAAAATTCAGATTTTTATCTTTCGGACAGTTATTAATTAAGACTTAATATTAAAGTTGACAGAAATGTCCACCCATATGATGAATTTTGTATTGGCCTTGCTGTAGTTTGGCCTGAAGGCTTCAAGCTGACTTGACAGACAGTGGCAGGCCAAAAATAAAACCCACTGACACTAGTGTAATGATACATCGGTTGTGCCTGCCTTCATGTAGGTTTTACTGGCTCTGACATCTGATGAATGGGGGCTGGCACGCTTCACTGATCCTGGCAAGTCTGGTTTCTCAGGTTTGAAGCTAGGTCAGCCTCTGCAGCTGGCTAATAGTGTTTAACACTACCATTGTCTGCCAGCCACTCATCCCAGCTCTTACAGCAAGTGAAAATATCGGTTATAATTTGATTTTCCAGTACACATGGGTGGACAGTTTTATAGTTACATGTAGTAGTGGATTGTAATGTTTTTAGTGCTCTTATTAATATTGGCCAGACATTAGTGGAAGTGATATCATTAAGGATTTATATATTTACACTTTGTGTTTAGTAATTTTGTGAAATGTAAAGTGAGTCTATTCTCTTGAGTGCTGATTGGATTTATATTAAATGTGAGCAATTAGTCCATGGTATGTTTTACTTTTACTAAAAGAATTGGATTCAGAAATTCTATAAGGTTTCCAAGGTGTAATGAAAATAGAAAAGTTTAAATAACTTGTGCCTATATACATGTAATTGTAATGAATATTGATGAGTTATCTAGTTAACCTTGTCTTCATTAGCCCCGTCAGAGCAGAACAGTAGGACGTTAAACCCTACTTCATTTTCTAGTTAATAATATGTACATTTAAAATAGTGTGGGAATATTCAGCATGCATTAACAAACTACATTCATCCAGAATAGATTTGACAGCTTTTGTCTGTTTACAATAACTGCATATATAATTATGTACATGTATGTATTCAACACATGTTGTATGAATACAATATTGAAAGGAATTATTAAGTGTAAATATTTATAGAAATAATATAATATATGCCAATTTTTAAGTGTCATTTGCCTGTCAAAAACGTCTTTAGTTCTGGACTAAATATATTAAATAATTTCCCTGGCTTAAGGGATATAAAAAAAACCTGCCAAAAGTGACCTATTTTACGTTTCAAAACATGCCATGCTGCCATATTTTCATTACCAGTACACTATATATATATTTACATACATAGTGTGTATGTATGTATATATATATCTTTAATTGATTCAACAGATGTTAATTATACATCATTTATACCAGGTCAAAGTTCATGGGATATTATGTATTTCACTCATTATTGATTGGTGAATTTTGAATATGGTTTAACCTAGGATGGTTGACAGATTTTGAAACCTGATCTCCAAGATTTTAATGACCTGCCAAAACTGTCAAAAGTGAAATGGGCCGTGCTATAATGATATGAAAAGTGTTGTGACAAATGGAGTTTATGATATGAATTAAATAATAAACAGGAGTTTTTAGTCAGATTAATTTCCCCTTTAACTTCTGCGCTCATGTTATGACACAACTTGAATGAATATTTAATGGCCTGCCATAATAAAGAGGACTCTGTGACTCCAAAGTTTGGTTTACTGGTAGTTGTTTTAGTTATTGTAAAACTTTATTATGATCTTCTATGGGACTATGGTCTAAAGCAAAAACGGACAAAGATTTCTGGTTAGGCAGCCAAATTTTTTGGTCGTAACAGCCGTTGTATCAAAGACATTTTCTAGGCAGATTTAATTGCCACAGTCAAAAGCAAAATTTCTGGTCATTACCGCAATTTTTGTTAACGGTCGTTGTATCAAATGTTTTTTTATGCAAATTCTATTGTCTGAAATATACATTTGTGGACATTGTTTTGAAGTAGAACCAGTTGAACTAAGCCTTGTTTATTGTTTTTTTTGTGATACGTTGAATTATAAAGAACATGTTTTATATTTTATTTATTTTTTTAATAGAGATTTAACTTTTGGTTTCTGTATTTTTCAGATTAAATTATAAACAAAGACATTTAAAATGAGTAGCTATCAACAGATGAGTGCCTCAGGCCAGTCAAGAACCAGTAAGTATAAATTAAACTATTTGCTCAATAAGAAAATTTAATTTATTAACTGCCACTGGAAGTTGAACATGATATAGTTCAAGGTGGATATACAAAATACTTGCTTTTTCAAAGGCAATGATAAAAATAAACCTCGGAAATGTTTCCTGTCCGGTTTAAATTCAAAATGACTCGTGTTCATATTTCATTTTATGACTGGTGTTCATATTTCATGAACTGTGATATTCTTTTCCTTGTTCAAATGGTAAGAGTATTGTATTATGTAGCGTAATTGATAGAAGACCTGGCAAGGACAGTGTCTAGTCATTTGGATCGGTTGAGGTCAGGTGTACACATCGGTGGGAATGTAAGAAAACCCTTTTCATAAGAGTGAATTAGAGTAGGTCGTAGCTCCACTGTACAGGCAAAATTCTCCCTCATACATGTGGCACACTGTATGGAGTATGTTTGCATTCATTACCGAAGTCTGTATAGAAAAGGTAGGATTATAAACCCCATTTGTACTAGGTATGTTATAAAAGTGAATTGAATTGATACTTGTAACAATTGACGCAAGTAAATACTGTACTTGAACATGTCATAACTAATTGTCAACAAATACATGTCAGAATCTTGTTCAATATCTTTATCTACAGTTTTATATCTAAACACTTATCACAAGCTGTAGGCAATGTGTTGGCTTGATATCAAGTGGTTGTAATGACGTTAATACCTGACATTGTTATAGATATCATCTTATTGACATAACTCATTAATCTTGTTAGATTACATACCAGTTTATAAACATCATCAAATATAATTCAAATCTATGGATTAGCTCAAAGTCTATTTTAACAATTACTTTCTTTTTTTTTATGCCAGATATCCGTAAAAGTGTTGAAAGCGGATATCTGGGATAGTACACTGTAAAATCTTCAACTGAAGAAATTTGTTTCTAGTTATAGTCGTACCTTTTAAATGATTAACTATGAAAATTTGAGCTCATGATATTTAGTTTACGGTGTTTGAAAGTAACATGACATTGCCAGGATTCAGGAAGCAGTTTTAGAATAACCTTAGTTAATTTACTTTATCAGTCGTACATTGTTAAGCCATAAGTTATATTCCATATACAATGTAGTAGTTTTCACATACAAATAATCCTTTCCTATACTTAGTTTAGTAAAGAACTAATCTGAAAAATTCTCTTCATTCAATAAACTTCATGTATGCATTTACAACCTTTTGTGGAACAAACAAAAAAATCCAAAACAATGTGAATAAAATATACATGAAATGTTATTTGGAGAAGTTATAACCATTCTTGATTAAAAAAAAACAATCCCAGACAAGTTGTCATTAATTGTTCCTCTTAAATCTCATTAAATGATCTGATGAATGCAGACAATCAACTTGCACAACATTTCAAGTGGCCAATATAAATCATTACTTTCTGAGCGGAAATTAAAACAGAAACCATCAGAACAAAAAAAACTCATAACGTTTCAAATGAGGAATAGAGGATAAAATCGTTTATATTCAGGCTACAGAGACTTGAGGTAGTATGTGTATGGGATTGGAGCAGATTGCTATGTCCAAAATATGTGTATGGGAATTGAAACTGATATAAATAATTTGTTATTTTCAGTGAGTTCTAATGCTAATGAAGGTAGTAATTATATGGATTTATCAAATATGCCAATGGATAAACAAAGAACCATGATGTGGCCCGATCAGTATAACATAGATTCTGGTATTCACTCTGGTACAACCACACAGGTAATTATTATATCATATTTAGAGGGTGTTGACCGGCTGAATGGTGCGTTAGATCATGCGGGTTGTCATTGAATAGAGTGAATAGAGTGGCGTGATTTAGATTCCCTGCTTGTGTGTGACAAGGAGTATGGTTGCCTGTTGAATCAAGTGGCGTGTTTCAATTCCCCACTTGTACGTGACAAGGAGTAGAGTCACCTGTTGAATCGCATGGGTTTTCTCAGAGCCCTGTGATTTCCTGCTACTGCATGTACATGTAACTTGATATATTGTAAGAAGTCATCTGGCTTGCATACACTTTAATTGGGGATGCGACTCGACGTATGTTTTGCTTTTTTTGGCCTTTTGTTTGGTGTTTGTGTGTTAAAAAGTAAAATAGAAACAGATGATAATGTTGAATATATGTATGATTGTAGGCTCCGTCAATAAGTAGCAAAAGTCATGGAGAGGAACTGGACGATGAAGAAAAGTTGATGTATGAGTGGTCTCAGTCCGCTGGATTTGGTGATGGTTATTCTCAAAATGAGGTTGATGGTAAGTGAATCGTTTTATAAATTTTAATAGAAATATTGTTTGACAAATTCTTCCAGAGATAAAGAAAAGAAAATTAGAAATAATATATATTCACGCAATTTTCTTAATCTCAAAATTTCCCTTTACAGATATCAACCAAACCTTGAATCAGACTCGGTCCCAGAGAGTAAGAGCAGCCATGTTTCCTGAGACTCTTCCTGAGGGAGTTCAGATACCTTCAACACAGATTCATCCCGATCAACCAACAGCCGTACAACGTTTATCAGAACCATCTCAAATGTTAAAACATGCTGTTGTTAACCTGATTAATTACCAGGTAGGTTTACTAGTAAATACTAGGGGGTTGGATGGCCGAATGGTTGGAACATGCGCGCTGTATCATAAGGTCTGTCATTGAATCAACTGGCGTTTAGATTCCTTGATTGTACGTGACAAGAAGTAGGGTCGCCTGTTCAACCCCGTGGGTTTTTCTCCGGATCCTCTGGTTTCCTCCCAATGGTAAAGACACGAATTGTTGAAATAAAATTGAACCCAGGGTTAGTCCGAAAATGACCTAGTTTGTGTCGAGTGGACGTTAAACCCCATTTCTGTCTTTACTAGTAAATGCTGTAAATATTATACTGTGAGAAAATTGTAATCAGCCTTCATGCCTGTATTTGAATATTCACTAGCTGTGGTGGCTCAGTGAGGTGCAGTGTTCAAATATTTGATTGCCCTTGTCTGTGGTGCAGGACTGAGGGTCTGACAAGGAACAATGATTTGGAATAAGAATTCTCACCCCATAGCACACTCTGTGGTGTATGCCTGTCTTCTTTAGCCAAGTCGGTGCGGAAAAGTAGGACTTAAACCCCATTTTATTTTGTTGAACGCTGTTTCAAAATCTGAACAATCGTAACTATTTGAATATTTAAACTTGTGAATTGAAGATTGGAAGAGAATGTTTTTGTAATGCATGTGATTACATTTTTGGTTACTTGACTTCATTATTCTGTCTACATATGAAAGTTTAGATAATTAACTATTAGAAATTGATTTTATAATTAAAAATGACTTATTTGATTGTTTTAGGATGATGCAGATCTTGCTACACGAGCAATCCCTGAATTGATTAAACTACTGAATGATGAAGACCAAGTTGTTGTAACACAAGCAGCCATGATGGTGCATCAGCTATCTAAGAAGGAAGCTAGTCGTCACGCTATTATGAATTCTCCACAAATATTGGCAGCTTTAGTGCGAGCTATGAACAACACTGATGATCTAGAAATCACCCGATGTGCTGCTGGTACATTACACAATCTCTCTCATCATCGACAGGGTTTACTCGCCATCTTTAAATCGGGTGGTATACCAGCTCTTGTCAAACTCCTGAGGTAAAAATTACTTTTATCTTGCCCAACTTTTTTTTAGAACAATGAGGGGAAACAGTTTTATGGATACAATTACTATTTATTACTGAGTGATCTTTTCCTCTAGGCTTCTCGAGCAATCATTGTATTCTATGAGCCCGACAAGGACAGCTGTTTAGTTGTTTCGGATGGGATGAAAAAATGAGGTCCCGTAGACACATTGGCGTGCATGTAAAAGATCCCTTGACTGTTGGAATTCGATATAAGAGTAGGCCATGGTGCCGCAGCCTGGACAAAATTTCCCTCAGCCCGTCTTCATTAGCCCAGTCGAAGCAGAACAGTAGGACGTTAAACCCCATTTCATTTCATTTTGTATTCTGTGAACTTGTGTCCTGCGTATTTCCAGTTCAATTACTAAATGACATTGAATCAATTCCTTTTAGTACAGTAGATATCATTTCTAAATTAGAACATTTTTCTATTATTGATCTTTGTAAAAATGATTTTAGTATAGAAAGATGTCTCATGGTTTTATTCTTGGAAACAATATGGTTAACTTTGCTAATATTAAGTTTAAAGAAAATGGTGTTTATTTTTGTTTTTATTATTTTTCAGTTCACCAGTTGAATCTGTTTTATTTTACGCAATAACAACCTTACACAACTTGCTACTTCATCAGGAGGGATCCAAAATGGCGGTCAGATTAGCAGGTGGTTTACAAAAGATGGTGGCTCTTTTACAAAGAAACAACAATGTGAAATTCTTGGCTATTACAACTGATTGTTTACAAATTCTGGCTTATGGAAACCAAGAAAGCAAGGTATGATTCTATTGATATTTATGCAAAGATTTATTCTAGGAAATTTAACAAAGGTAGCTTACGATAGTCCAATGAAGTCGAAAGATTTATTTTTGGCCCAACAAGAGCTCTAGCCATTTTAACCATCATTAGCTTATCAGTGCAGAAGAGTATGATGTTAAACCACATTTCATTTAAACCATTTTGAATTTTTTTCCAGTTGATAATACTAGCTAGTGGTGGCCCAGGTGAATTGGTTCGTATCATGAAATCTTACACGTATGAAAAACTACTGTGGACTACATCTAGAGTGTTAAAAGTTTTATCTGTCTGTCAAAGCAACAAACCAGCCATTGTTGAAGCCGGTAAGTCGAAATTGTCACTATGATTAAACAGAATTAGTCAAGTCAAAAATCTTTATGGACGAAGTTTTTGATAAAAAGTATTAAATTGTTAGGGGATATGTTGGCCGAATGGGTTAATGCATGTGCTTCAGATCATACGGTCTGTCATTAAGTAAAGTGGCACAGTTTCAATTCATCGCTTGTACGTGAAAAGGAGTAGGCTCACTGTCTTATTCTCCCGGCTAACCCCTATGCAGAAACAAATGATCGAAATAAAATTGAACTATTTGTCATTCCCGAAATGATAGTTTGTGGATGTTAACCCAATTTCTATCTAAAAATGTGATTTGATACTTTTAGAAATAATGTCCTCTTTTTAATTTATATAATTTTTAGGTGGCATGCAAGCTTTGGCTATGCATTTAGGTCATCAAAGTCAACGTTTGGTACAGAATTGTTTGTGGACATTGAGAAACTTGTCAGATGCAGCAACTAAAGTGGTAAGTACAGGTTCAAACCTTGTATGTAGAATTCTATACAGGGACTCGTAGAATCTAGTAAATAACTCTTGGAAAACTCCTGGTATTTTAACTGTTCTGTGTGTTGTGCACACCCTAGGAGATGCCGAGTAAAAGCACGAGTTTCAGATGGCATCTAAATAAAAAATAATACCTATCAATCATCGCTGAAGCAGATTTGTTTTGATAAAATCATAATTCTGTTGACAATAGTAGTCTAACAGGATTCGATATTGGTTGCAGTTTGGGAATTTATTTTCAGAACATTTCAGACCCAATCTTGCAACTTTGTTATTGCAAAATCATGACTTATGTATTTTATATTTGACGTATCTGTTGAAGTATTTTATATTTGACATTATCTGTTTATGTATTTCAGGATGCATTAGAAGGAATATTACAAGTGTTGACCCAGTTATTATCATCCAATGATATTAATGTAATAACTTGTGCTGCTGGTATCTTGTCTAACTTGACATGTAATAACCAACGTAATAAGGTGATCGTGTGCCAGGTCGGAGGTATTGAGGCGCTTGTTCGTACTATTATGCAGGCTGGAGATCGAGAGGACATAACAGAACCAACAGTAAGTTGATTATAACCAGTTTCATTCCTGATATAAATTCAAGGATAAGGAGTTGATAAACTCTGAAAACATTGACTGTTTATAACTGTGCAAATCAAAGTCTCCAGTTTTGAAATCTTTTCATTTTAGATTAGATTATACGATATGTGTTCATTTCACATAAAATTTCAATATGATGAATTCTGTTAAAATATGGTTATATATTGTATACGTGAGTGACCTGTGGTGGTTGTTGAGCTAGATTTCGCTGTACAGAGAAATGTTTTATAAGAATTTTAAGTAAATCTTTTATGTTCGGTCCAGACAGTCATGCGATACATTACGATAGGATTGTCCCTATTGTGTCCACGATCTGGTATGTGAAGATGCATTCGGATACCATCAACAGGATTGCCTTGACTGACCTCAATATAGGATGAGAACACCACGATTGCTCCACAGTTAAATAATTTTGATAGTGAGAACCTAGCGTTAGTTTCTTCACCATACTAAAGTTTAGTTTTCAATTTATACTTATGATCTTTCAATCAATAATTAAAAATTCATGTGATATCCATTAAAAATATTCTAATTCTTCTCAATTTCTTATAGGTATGTGCCTTGCGTCATTTGACTGCTCGTCACCCAGAAGCTGAGATGGCCCAGAATGCTGTGCGTCTTCACTATGGACTTCCTGTTCTAGTCAAATTACTCCACCCACCAAGCCGTTGGCCACTAATCAAAGCCGTGGTTGGTCTAATCCACAACTTGGCTCTATGTCCAGCCAATCATGCTCCTCTTAGAGAACATGGTGCTCTTCCTCGTATTGTTCAACTTCTGATCCGTGCCCACCAAGATACACAAAGGGTAAGTCAACTAATTACTTCTCAAACTGTTAATAATTTGTGTTTTTCTCAGTCACTTGCACAGAAATAAGTTAATGCTGCCCTTTTTTGCATATCAAATTTTTAACGGTTTATTACCTGCTAAAATGTACTTAGGATAGATTATTTAACATTTAATTATGAAAACAATAGGAGCCAAAATATCAGTGATAGATAAAAAGATTTGACCTAACAGTTACAGGTGGCACTGGATTATTTCTTGTCTGCAGAGAATGCTAAATCTTCTAAAAGTTTTAGTTCATCATTTTATGACTGATATTTGTTATTAGAGATTCTATTTTCACAATCTTAGTCGGCAAGGAAATCAACATTTCCCCGAGTGGCACCATCGACATAAAAATTCTACAAAGTGAATGTATCGGTTTAACAAAGTGTTTATGGCCATTTTCCTTATATTTTACTAATTAGTGATGATTGTCAGTAAACAATTGTTTATTTGGTTTTTTTTTTTAGAGAGCTTCCGTAAGCTCTGCCAATGGTGGACCTAGTTTAGTTGATGGTGTTAGAATGGAAGATATTGTCGAAGGTACAGGTGGTGCTCTCCATATTTTGGCCCGTGAACCTCACAACCGTGCTGTCATCCGTGGATTGAACTGTATCCCACTTTTCGTTCAAGTAAGTCATGTTATTTAACATTTGTGTGTTCACACAGTAAGTTGCGAAAACTTTCATGGTTGCACTCTCTTGATTCAAGTCCTATTGCTAGATATTAAATAGAAACTGCAAATTTGAGATCTTGTCCGGGTCTCCCGGTGTCTTCCACTTCTAAAGACCTCTACGCTGCAGAAACAAATAATTGTAATAAAATTAATCCATATGTTAGTCCCAAAATCTAGTTTATTTCGAGTGGACATGAAACCCTATTTCTCACTTTTTAGATATCACTGCTTTAATAGTAACTGGTGAATCATTATGTATGATTAATTATTCAAATCAATGTCCGCCTTCCTTGCACTGAGTCACTTTTTCCCTCTCAAATTGTCACTGAAATCACAATAAAATATGTTTCAACACAAATAGACCTCTTAGCTTCATCATATCTTGATGTCTGATTGAGCATATTCTTGGTCGGACGTTTGGAAAATAGCGTAGGGCATGTCTGAAATACGGACGGAATTCTAACACTGCTTCATAGTTAGTTATAAGTTAATCCACAGTAGCTTTCAGATATTATCTTTTATATTTTACAGCTTTTGTATTCACCAATTGAAAATATACAGAGAGTAGCTGCTGGTGTGTTGTGTGAACTAGCTGCTGATAAAGAAGGTGCTGAAATCATTGAACAAGAGGGAGCAACTGCACCATTAACTGAACTACTACACTCAAGAAACGAGGGAGTTGGTAAGTTCAACCTTTCAACAAATTTCACTAGGCTGTTTTTTTTCCACTTTCTGGAAGTAATACCTTTGAATTAGGTTGCCTTTAGTTATTGTTCAATTTTTGAAGGATTAAAAAAAACTGAATGATTTCTGGTGTTTTATGTTACATTGAATCATTATTACACATTAATTGAAATTGAATATCTTTGGTAAAGTTTTCAATTATCTGACATATTGTTGCCATGGGGACCTTATTGTTGGATAACTTAACGATTTAGTATTCTATGCCACAATGTCTGCCGTTATAGTTAAAATTAAACAGTATTATTATTATTACAGCTACTTACGCTGCAGCTGTTCTATTCCGTATGTCTGAAGATAAACCACAGGATTATAAAAAACGTCTGTCCATGGAATTGACAAGTTCATTGTATCGAGGTGATCAGAATCAAGCATGGAGTGATGTAAGTATCTGTTAATTCCACGCTATTGTCAATTCTTGTTTTGATTTTAATCTTTGATAAAGTATCAAAATGGAAAACGTGTCTTCTACTAGATTGATTCTGGAGTAGTTACATCTGAGCCGCAAACACTAGCTTGCCGGGTGGGTGATCATATGGTCTTGTCATTGAGTCAATTCGTGTGGTTTCGTATCCCGTAACAAGGAGTAGGGTCGCCTGTCCAACCTCATGCATTTTCCCTGGGATTTCCTCTCACTGCTTAAAACCCCTATGTGCTAGCGAATTATTGAAATAAAATTGTACCATGTTTGTCCCAAAATGGTCTAGTTTCAATTTTAGCATCGTTAATGTTTATAAATGTATAAAGAAGTTGTATTAATGGTTGTTTTTTTTTTTTAGCCACCAGGATTTGATGATGTAAATCAGATGGCTATGGGAGAAGGTACAAGAGAACAGATGTATCAACCACCACATCATGGTAGTCAGGGTAGTATGTATTCTGGTCAACCTGATATCAACAGACATGGTAAGTCAATATAAAAAATATATACCAGCTTCCAAAATAACACTTAATAGCCCAGTTGGTGCAAAATAACTGTCGTCTTCATTAGCCCAGTTGCTGCAAAATAACTGTCTTCTTCATTTGCCCAGTCGGTGCAAAATATCTTTTAAGTGGTGCAGGATGGAATTTGAAATACGAGTAAGGCCAAACTGTGTGGTGTATGCCAGTCTTCATTAGAACAGTATGACGACTTTAACTCCCTTTCATATACAAAATAACTAAGAAAACAGAAATTTGTTAAATAATTAGTAATTCAAGTGGTTATTTAAAAAGGCATTATGCTAATTTTATATAAAAACCTGCAATAGGCTGATTTAGCTCTTAACATAATGCATCTTTAACATTTGAAGCCAAAAAAATGTTCAGCATAAATTCTCTTTAAACAACAAAAGTATGGTCATTGTATCGGAAACATAGATGGGGCGGAAAACCACTGTCGGGGCAAAATTAACCTCATAACACACTGCATGGCATATGTCCGTCTTCATTGATGCAGGACAGTAGGATGTTAAACACAATTTCATTTCCTATTGACTATCGAATGAAACTCTGTAATGAGACACACTGATGTGTCGTTAACAAATTTCCATAAAATTTACACATTGTTTTATTTTAGGATTTGAAAACGTGCCAACAGATTCTATGCAAGGGCTAGAGTTGGGTAGCCATCCCGGGAGTGCTTACGGACCAATGGACAATATGACCGAACTAGGTGCTACATCTGGGGACTACAATCTCGACTCGAGCATGCCACAAAGCGAAAACCAACATATGTCCTGGTTTGACACAGACTTGTAAAACTATCAGAGAAATGACTTTTATCTCGAAAGACTACAAAAGACCATTTGTGTAGAAAGTATAACATGTGAACGGTGCACCCATGGAAAGAATTTTAAATTATACTGATATAATCTTCTCCGATACTATTTTTGTGAAAAGAAAACAATGAAAAGCAATTTCACTTCTTGTCTTAAGAACATCAGATTTGCATACATATCATCAAAGAATTTTTAAGCGGAGAAAGCAGACTGACGTAAAATAGACCAGATTCATTTATTATTATATTTTATGTTTTTTTTTTTTTGTACTAACATTTAATAACGTGGTTTTTGTAAGAAACTGGACCAGTGAGTAAAATCTTGTGTAAATATACAAAAATAAAACCTGGACCAGTACAGAGCAATATTTGTAAATATACAATCATTTTATTCTATTCACATCATTCCTTCTACAAAAATTTCATTTTTAACATTTTTTGAAGAAAAAAACCCACTATACCATACAACATATACCCAGTGGTGTGTCTACGCAAAATTGTGCTATCGGTACTCTGGTAGTATCTCTCAGTGGCGCGCGCGCCCAGGGCCTGTGTCCTCCCTGCCCATATCGTTGATACACCACTACATATATACTTATCTAGAAGGCTTTTTGTGCATTTATCATTTTTATATTGTATAACCATAGTATAATATATTGAGAGTTTTAACATAACTCTAAAAACACACAAGAGTCCATTATAAATATCTATATTTTTAAATGTCTCAAATTGTCTTTTTAGTAATATTATTTGGTTCATTTTCCATTTTTTCTTCCTTTTTCCAAAATTGAATCCGATCTATTTCGATATTTTAAATATTTTGTCTGTTTGGATGAAATTAAGGAGATGAGTTTTAAAATGAATACGATAATATAAGTGTACTACTGTGTATTTGATAAAATGGCCATTATTATGTGAAATGTTTTTTTTTTTAAAAAAGAAGTAACAAAACGTAAATGTTTGTCCCTCCAAGATAGGAGAATTATATATATATATTTTATATTAGACTATTTTCTTTCATGCTTTTAATCACAAATGTAGTGTACAAATTTAGATAAGTTTTTTTTTGTCGTAGATATGGTATATTTGCCAGTCATTTCATTTTATAATGTTTATTCTTTGATATTTTATTCTAAAATCATACTCTTCTTTTGTAGCTCTTTGTGCATGATCATTAATAAAATGGTGTTTTGTAATATAATTAATTTTGTCTTGTTTTAAATCCATCCTTTTGGGGGCTTGGATGGCCGAATTGTTAGCAGGTGCCAGCATGTTATATCATAAGGTCTGTCATTGAGTCAAATGGCATGGTTTCAATTCCCTGGTTGTACGTGACAAGTAGGGTCACCTGTCCAACCTCTTGGACCTAGTTTGTGTCTAGTAAACGCTAAACCCCATTTCTCTTTATTTTAATCCTGGAACAGAATGCTGTGCTGACAAAGTCTGTCTTCGGGCTAAATATTGAGTAATCTGCACACCTTGCATTGCACATATTGTCATTTGGCTACTAACATGTTGATGTGTAATAAAACACAAACATAAAATTGAACACGTTTTGTTGACGGTTCTCTCTATGTTTTGTGTCCAAAGATATTTATGTGTACTTGAAGAAAGAGGGCTTACAGCAAGTACCTGTCACAGGTGCCTGTCATTTTGATTGTCAGTGATTTGGTATAGATATTTTTATAAATGTTCAGCTAAGTTTCATCTCTTGACTGCTGTGGGCTTATGGGGGGGTTGGATGGCTGAATGGTTAGCGGTATCATAAAGTCTGTCATTGAGTCGACTGGCGTGGTTTCGAATCCCAGGTTGTACGTGGCAAGGAGTAGGGTCGGGTTTTCTCCGGGTCCTCCAGTTTCCTCCCACTGCTAAAGACCCCTACGCGCAAGCGAATTATTGAAATAAAATTAAACCATATGTTAGTCCCGAAATGACCTAGTTTGTGTCGAGTGGACGTTAAACCCCATTTCTCTCTCTCTCTGTGGGCTTATGTTTTGTTGTCTGGCAACCTATCTTTTTCTTTAGCCAGAATGTGGTAACAAATTACCGGATAGAGAAGATTCTCTGTACAATCCACGAAAAAATGTGGAAATATTCCCCCCCCCCCACCCAGTGTCATTTTAAATAATCCACGAAAAAATGTTGAAATATTTCCCCACTGTCATGATGGGCCATGTACTATCGGCACATTGAAGAAAACTATTAATTACCAAGAAATAAGTTAAAAGATCTGTCAATTCACCCTAACTGCTGAAGCCATTATTTGATAATATGGCCCTAAACTGTAGCTTCCAGTGTCTTTAATACTGGATATTGAAAATCTTGGTTGCATTACTGACTGTTTGCCGACTAATCATAACAATCTGGATTGAAAGATCCTTTGGGGCCTTATTTAGCTCTATTTAAGTTGTTTCATCTGTCACTCACAATGGGCATTGATTAAACTTTTGAAATCTTACAGGATCATTCATTTTAATCAGCCTTTGTAGCAACTATAAGCAAACACATCCTCGATATCCCATTCAAAGTAGAGACACAGCCAAGTTATCCACCCTTGATAATTGTGCATACAGCAATCCATCTACTGGATGGATAATAATTGTGCTGTTTTATGGATCAATCAAAAAATTCCATAAATAGAAAGAGGACAAAGGGAAGTAACTCACATTTTGTTGAATCGTAAACTTTGTAAAAGTACTTTAGGACATCTTTTTGTGTGAATGTCACATTGATGAAATTAAATTTCTTTCAAACTTTCTCTTAATCGAACCTACAAGCTGCTTTATATTGTGGTGAACATAAACTATGATGCTAAGACTGATATGTAAATCTGTTTTTGATTGGTTCGTAGAAACACCCTACATGGCTATTGAAATCATCAAGGGCAGATAATTTGAATCCGTAAATACCTTGTGAACGCACCCAGGTGTTAGTGAAGTAGAACCTCTGGGAAGGAGATCGAGGCTATCTACATGTAGAGACCTTTCCAGAAGTCAGATCCAGGGGCAGGTAACTAATAGAATGATACAAAGATAAATGGATTTAGCAGTGAAATGATTTTTATTAATGAGATGTGTGCATGTGCAAAAATACCAATGGTGCTTCAGATTATGGAAATTACCATTTTTTTTTTTTTTACATAAATTGCCCAGGAAATCCTGACAATTTTAGCTTCCAAGGAAGACATTCATAAAGTATTAAAACTGAAATATTTAAAGCAATACACCGTGTTACTATAATGTAAGGTGGTTTCAAACAGAGAAAAACCAGAAGACTGTTCTAAAACATTGCAGTTTTAGTGTTTGTGAAATTGCTTTATTTAATGTCCGCTTCCACCGGGGTGAAGACCCCTACACGCAAGCGAATTATTGAAATAAAATTGAACCATGTTAGTCCCGAAATGACCTAGTTTTTTTTCTCTCTCTCTCTCCACCGAGGTGATATTGCAGACAGTTATAGTCAGTGACTCTGTATTTTAACTCGCTCGGACCCTCCCATGCTCACGCAGAGCAAATTGAAATAAAGTCATTCCACTCTAATCCTATACATGTATGCATATAAATGAACAGAGTTTGGTCTCCAGTATTTCTGATTTTATAAAATTCTCGGGTAATACCCCAGACCCCATTCCAAACTTGACATTGTCTCTACGTTGGACCCTCCACTGCTCAGATTCTTGGACACATCCCTGGAAAATATGGGACTATGATGCGTACTGTATGGATGGGTTTCCAAGAATACCTTCTATCAAAGATTGCAGACATGTAAGTAAGTACAGAATTAAGTTTGTCACTGGCTGTAAAACATAAATTTTGTGTTGAAATTAGGTTTGTCCATCCTTGATATCCAAGTGGTCTCATTCCATTCTAGTCCATTATATCCTGGGTTCGTCCATGGTGTATTCACATATTCAAATTATCAGCCTGTGATCATAGCTCGATTCTACGAACCAATCAAATTTAGATTCATAACACTATGGTGGCTTGTTCGCTCGATGAGAAAATTTGCAAGAAATTTAATATAAAAGAATTGACATGCACACAAAAAAGATGTCAGTTTTATGGGTTTAACAATTTTTTTGATTTGTTGATAAAAATTGCACAATCATCAAGGGTAGATAATTTGAATAAGTGTCTCCCCTATGTATGGCTCAGACTAGCAATTATTTGCCCATTGACTTCAATGTTAAATGGCTGTAACATCACAGGCTGTAGCTTTTTGCTCAACATTCCGTTGGTTCCAATCTTTATCGGCACAATGGGGACCACATTTGGCAATCTCCTCATCATAATTTTGTAGGGGGTTGACCGTTTAGATTTTTTACAACAGGGATTTAAAGTTGACGGGTGAAAATCTCACTTCAGACATGATTGCTCTGCAGAAAGACACTTTACACCCCCTATCCCTCCGCTCTAATATCATCAGTATTACCCAAAACTGCTATGAAATTGCAAATTTGATCCCTTTTCTCCAATTCTAGACCGAAAAGTCAACCAAAAAATGCAGGAAGAGGGGAGAAAAAAATTAAGGAAAAAATTGTCTATTTATAACTGGCACTACATTTGTCCATCATGAAATAATGGGAAATAATTACTAGTCTGAGTCCCTATGAACCCAGGAGTGAGTGGACAGAACGGAATGAGACCACTGGAGATACTAAGGATGATGCGAGATGTGATTGTTTCTGATATTAGTATGGCTGTTCTTGGATGGATTTGTATTTATTAAAGCACCATCTTTTTAAAATTTCAGGTTGAATTTTTCACTCGGACAAAAAAAAATCATTCAGAAGTACCTGGTCCCAGCATTATAATAGTTACTTGTATAGAATTTGTAACGTAGCTACTGTTACACAAGATGCCATAATATTAAACAAATTAATTTTGTAAGATAAGGGGGACAACTGGCAGAGCCAAACACTTTTGTAATTTTAGAAAATTTCTGCAGTAAATCAATCCAAAGGTGACTCTTTGAAAGACCCCTTTCTTCATCAACTGGATGGTTTCAAGTCACAGAATGGAAAACTTCATGCAAAACAGATTCATATGGATATTAATTTTTGATTTGGTTAACTTATATCCCCATGAATGAACCATAGCTCTATTGAAAAGAAATGGCGGCCATCATAACTGGTAATTTTCTTTGTTATATCCCAGTTTTCTTTCAGTTTAAAGACACACAAAGACGCACAACAATAGGGCGATACCTCCTTTGAATACATAACAAGGAAGCAGTCCTTGAAACTTATTCCAAGTTCTGTGATAATGATTTTTGATAATGTCTATGATTGTTTTTTGAATTCATTAGCTATCTTCTTCCTCCTCGACCACGCCCATTATTTATCTGCGTCTGACCTCCACGACCTTGAGGTACAGGCGGTCGGGTCATTCTTTGATTATTTGTGTTCTGGGGGAAACCAGCTGTAAAATAAAGAAATATCTGATTTTATCATTTACCATTGTTTAAAGGGAGGTAAATCTAAATAATCAATCCACAATGTCACACCCATTCTGACCCCAAGTTCATGAGGCATTCTCAGAATTTACTCAAAATTGTTCGACTTATTTTAACTAAAATATAAAACTTTTGTTGTTTTAATGTATCATATATATCAATAAGAAACTGTGCAAAGTTTTGTGTTTCTGGATAAAAGATATTTCTCATATACTGTGATTGAACGTTGAGTAAATTCTTAACTTAAACATACATTATGCAAGAGCTAAATCTTCCTATTGCTCGTCTTTCTTTAGGCCTTAAATGTTATCTAAATTATTAATTAGACATTAATTAACTTATCCAGACCATAATCAACTCTCAATGACATTGTTAGCCTGCGTTATTTAGTGGATTTGAATACATTTTGTGATGGATAATTTAACGTAAAAATGGATAATCAAGACATTATTATCGTACCAATGTTAGTAATGATGATCAAGGCTAGCCTAATATCTTGGTTCAGAATGAAATTTTCAGCATATATTCATTTTCATTATCTATTTTTTTAACTATTATAGCATGAAGTGTCAGCTCTATATCTAATCTTACCTAATGCCCCTTCAAATCTAGAATGCTTTGAGAAACCGGGGCCTGATTTTATCTTCAATTATAAAATAAAAATGGGGGTTAATGTCCTACTTTTCTGCACTGACTGGGCTAATGAAGACAGGTGTTATAGTGTGTTTATACATTTACTGGTTATTT